GCTCGGTACCGAGCCCGGATTTCATGGACGACGTCCTTCAAGCGCCGAGCGACCTCGTACTTCTGCCAGTCCTTCTCCCCCTGGAAAGGGGGACCAAGACATTCTTCAATCAGTGTCCCACCTTTATTCCACCCCTTCCAGTCTAACCCTGTTTTGGAAACACTTCCAGCATCTAAATCCTGCTCCAATCCCGCTGTTTCCTTAGGAAATAAAGGGAGGCCAAGACATTATTCACTATGCCCCACCTTTATTCCACCCCTTCCAGCCTAACTCTGTTTTGGAAACACTTCCAGCATCTAAATCCTGCTCCAATCCCGCTGTTTCCTTAGGAAATAAAGGGAGGCCAAGACATTTTTCATTGTGCCCCACCTTTATTCCACCTCTTCCAGTCTAACCCTGCTCTGGGAACACCTCCAGCATCTAAATCCTGCTCAAAGCCTGTGTTTTCTCGAGGAAAAATCCACAAAGTGGAAGAACTGGAGCAGAAGCAGCTCATCCAAGGTTTCTGTGCCCTCTGCTGGCTGAGCTGGATTTGGGATCGTGGTCAAGTCAAGGTGTTCTCCACCAGGAGTGCCCAGCGAGGAGCCAAAGTGGTCAAACACTGCATGGCCACGGCCATCACTGCCTGGACACCACCAGGGAGGGGCACAACACTCCCTGGGCTGTGCCCAGCTGGGATTCAGTGCCCTCATTTATTTGGAACACTGGAAAAAGCCTTAAATCCCCTTTCCTTTCTTCCCATGGCACTACAGACCAGGATCCCACCTTTGCCCATGAGTGAACTCCACCCCACGGACTCTGGTCCCTGTGGACCCTCCCAGCTCCTGCCAGGCTTCCAACAGCCTTCCCTGGAAACACATGAGGAATGTGGCACAGGGAACATTGGAATGTTGGCTCTGCCAGCAGCAATCCTTCCCTGGAATAGGATTAATGCTTAACAACCACCTGTCCTTTTCCTCTCACCACCCAACAACACACAGATTCCTTTAGTTCACCCCGTTTTTTGGGGAAAGATGGGAAAAAAACCCTGGATTTTTGGTGCTGTGCCACATCTCTGCTTTCCCTGATCTTTCCACCATCATTCCAACCTTCAGCTTGGAGCTGGGGTTCAGCATGATGTACTTCAGGGTGTTCTGGATGTTCTCCGTCCACGAGGCCAACCAGGTCACCGTGTTGTCAAAGCGAACCTCCTTCCACTTGTGACCTTCTGGGGGCTCGGGAATCTTGGAATCCCTGTGGGAAGAGCAGGATTAAAGCCCTGAGACCATGAAGAGATGGGGTTTCAGCTCAACTTAGTGAGCCAAGGATGGTCACCACATCACCACAGAGTCCACCCAAAACTGCTCCACGTGGAATTGTTAAGGTTGGAAAAGTCCTTCAAGATCAGGAAGTTCAACCATTAAACCAGCACTTCCAGGTCCACCATGGAACCGTGTCCCCAAGTGCCACATCTACACACCTTTCAAATCCCTCCAGGGCTGGGGACTCCACCACTGCCCTGAGCAGCCTTTTCTAGTGCCTGACAACCCTTTCTGGGAAGAGGTTTTCTCTGATATCCAACCTAAACCTCTCTCCTGGGACAACTTAAGTGATAGGACAAGAGGAAATGGCCTCATCTGGGAGAAGAGACCAACCCCCACCTGTCCACATCTTTCTTTCAGGGAGCTGTAGAGAGAAATAAGGTCCATCCTGAGCCTCCTTTTCTCCAGGTTGAGCCCCCCCAAGCTCCCTCAGCCACTCCTGGTGCTCCAGACCCTTCCCACCATCAGGTCTTTTATCATTTGGATGCTGAAGACAAAGGAGAACTTTCTGGAGGGGAATGTTTTGAATCAAAGTCTTCAAATGGGTGGTTTAAGACCAACCCAACTCATATAATTTAGCACTTAGAGAACACTCTTAACCCAATCGCTGCCTTCCCCCCTCCTCCAGGCAGGATCCTGGTGCTTCCAGGCAGCGTGAGGGATCCAAAAAATTAGGAGAATGGAAATTAAGAGGAGCACAGAGTTATCCCTTCTTCAAAGAGGCAGCAAGAGAACCACGGGTTGTTTATGGTTGATTTTAGATGAACCAGTGGGAGATGGAGCTGCTTGAGCAGCTTCCTGGCCACTGGAGATCCACAGAGGAATTCAAAGCCAGACCTCTGGAGGTGACCAAAGAGCTCCAGCGAGTCCTCAGGCCATGGAAAGCAGGGATCGCAGGAGATGGTGAAATCCCAGGATCCTGCTCCTCCAGGTCCCAAAACCGGCTCCAGGAGCTCACAACAACTCACCTGCTGCAGTTGATGATCACATCTTCTGGCATGACCCTCTTCTTCAGCATCCCCATTTTGGGGTGGTCGCCACGGCCGCGGAACAGCCCCGGTGGCTCCGTTTTGAAGTTGCCGATCTTCTCGCGGTGCCCATCCAGGATGCAGTAGCCATATTCCTCCTGGATCTTGTCTGCCTCCTCCTTCAGCTTCTGAAAGGAGCACCAGGACAGCCAAAAAAATCGTGGAGTGGTTTGAGTTGGAAGGGACCTCCAAATTTATCTCATTCTTATTCCACCTCCCTGCCATGAGCATGGACACCTTTCACTAGCCCAGGTTGCTCCAAGCCCCATCCAAGCTGGCCTTGGACACTTCCAGGGATGGGGCAGCCACAGCTTCTCTGGGCAACCTGTGCCAGTGTCCCACCACCCTCCCAGTAAGGAATTTCTTCCCAATCTAAACTTACTCTCAATCCCACGGGATGAGATTTAACCCTCATGGCTCGTGTTCGCCCAACACCATCCCCCCTTTCCCTGGAGAAAAAGGAAGGCTGGGAAGGCAGAGCTCAGAGGAGAAGGAGGCAAGTCCATTCCCAAAAAATGGCTCATCTCCACCCACTCTGCAAACCCTCCCAGTGATGCTGATGGAACAACCCTGAGGGCCACCAGTCCCTCAGCAAGGTCCACCATCCTCTGCATAGAGCAGGACCCAAAACCATGGTCCAAGGATGGTTGGCAGGTTGGAAAACCATGGAATGTGCAGGACCGGTTGATAAAATTCATAAAGAGGAGGATGATGGTCATGGAGACAGAGCTGTTCCAAAGAGGTCCCAGGGCATTCCAGCAGGAAAAATGACAAGCAGGAGCCCAAACACCCCAAAGCTGGACCCTAAAACACTGTTATCCAGTCCCAGATGTCCCAGGGATGAGTCCTGACCTGCTTCTCCTCCTTGGGGAGCGCTTTCCGGGCCTCGCTTTTGTCCACAAAGTACTTGTGGATCTCACTGAAGTCACACTTGGCCAGGTCCTGGATTATCTCCTGCTCCTCCGAGGTCATCTCCTGGGCAAAAAATGGGATGACCTGGATAAAGCTGGGAGGCCAAACTAACCCCACACAGAGCTGATGTTTGTGCCTCTCCTTCCCAGAAAAGGGAACAGAGACCCATATTCCAGCTCTTTGGAAAAAAATCAGGAGGCAGCAGCCACAACCAGCTTCCATGGCAGGAGGTCTGGATGATCTTTGGATTCAACCAACACCCAGAGAAACAAAATGCAGCCAAAGCTGGGGTAGAACAACGTCTGATATGGAAAAAAAAAAATCCCCAAAAACCCACTGCAGGAACTTCAGGGACTGCAGAAGGTGCACCAAAGGGATTTGGGGGGTGTAAACACACCCCAGTAGGGGTTTTGGTTTTATTTAGGACCATGAGGTTATTCCTTCAAGCCCCAAAACATTTGGGAAGCTGTCTGGAAGATCCAACACCTCCTTCCATCACCAAAACTCAGTGGGGAGCACAAGTGAAGCCCTCAAAGATGCTGCAGGCAGCAAATCCCAGCCCAAATCCCCCCAAAAACCAAGGAAACAAATCAGAATTTAGGATCTCACAGTTATAAATAAGCCATAAAAGCCCCTCATCCCCTCCCATCCCACACCACAGCCTGATGATGGATATCAAGGAAGCCCTCCCAGGGATGTACCTTCCTCCAGTCGTGGAAGAAGTTGTTCTGGAAGATCTCCTTGGTCGTGTACTCGTGGTCGAGCATTTTGGCATAAAACGTGGCGATTTCCTCCGTGGCCAAGCTCAGTTTCAGGGGTTTTCCTGGGAAAAGAGAGGACCTTCAGCATCGGTGAAGGGAACAGCCCAATCCCACAGTCTTTTGGAGACTCCTCACATTCCACACTCCACCAAAAGAGGGCTGAGGGGGGAGAAGAGTCACTGGCAGGACCTCAGCGCCTCCTGCTCCAGGATCAACGTCCACAGCTCTTAGCACAGTGGGATGTTCCTGAATCCCACCAATTCCAGGAGGCAGGATCCTCCTTGGAGAGGTTTCACCTCATCCATGAGAATGGAACAACCATGGGATGCTCCAAGCCGAAGTTTGTGCAAGACATAAGAGGCAAGAGCCTCTCCTGGTTGTCCAATGGATCCAAGAATCATGGAATGGTTTAGGTTGCAAGGGATTTTCAGTTCCAAAACCCCTGCCATGGGCAGGGACACCTTCCACTAGCCCAGGTTGCTCCAAGCCCTGTCAAACCTGACTTTGGACACTTCCAGGGATGGGGCAGGCACAGCTTCTCTGGGCAGAATTTGGGATCTGTTCCCGGGGGGCTCTCGGGGTCTGGCATCGGTTTCCAGGGGGGCTCTCGGGGTCTGGCATCGGTTCCCGGGGATTCTCCAGGGTCTGGGATCAATTCTCAGGGGCTCTCCAGGTCCTGGGATCAGTTCTTGGGGGTTTTCCAGGTCTGGGATCACTCCCTGGAGGTGCCAAAGCCACCACCCTCTCCTGAGCTCTTTGCCCAGAGAAACACAGTGAAACCAAGGAAGAACATCTTGGCTCATCCTAAGAATTCCTTGGAAACAGCTTCCCGAGGCAAGCTGGAGGAAAAGCAACCTGCAGAGCTCCAGGGGATGGTCCAATCCCACCTGGACCACCGGGATTTGGGGTTCCTGGACTGCAGACCATGGGGGGTCACAGCCTCAGAGCAGCCCCACGACAACCCACAGGCACCATGTGGTCCCTTCCGTGGTCTCCTCCTACTCGGAGTTGTTGCCTGTCCACAAACACTTTTCCATCCAGGAATTTTTAAGGAATTTTTAAGGAATTTTTAAGGAATTTTTAAGG